AATTTTTACTGGCTATTTACACCTTTTTTTTAAGAGAGGAGTGTGTGGTGCAATCGATTGATTTGAGTATGGCAGCAACGTAATAATGATAACAGATGTTTATTTCCCATAAAGAAATTCACTTCGTGAAGAGGTTTGCGTGACAGCGGACTGCGCAGATGCGATTCCACCCCTTCCAGTGCGTTATACTGTAACGTTTCTCATTCTAGTGCGTGCTGTCTTGAGTTACGGTTATGTCTTCGCAATGGTACAACTTGCACTTGAAATGTAACGGTTGTCAATATATATTGTTGATAAATGTTACATATAATTCTTTCTTGAAAATATCTTTGATTCGAGTATATTTGTATTTCATAAATAGTGTTTTCTTACTTCTGTTTGCTGATTGAATATTCTATAGTTTTGTTTCTTTTTTTATTTAAATATTTAGCTGAGTTGCCTAATTTTATTGACATGCAGTGCATAGTGAACGAAACATCGCCGTGAGATCATCATATTTGGCCATTTACATTTTTATTCTAGAAGGGATGCACAGTTAAGTGATCGATTTTTATGTGACAATAAAGTAACAGATGTTTCCATCAGCAAGTGTTTTGTTGAGGGACTCGTGCGACAGTTGACGGTGCAAGTGCGGTTCGACCTCTTCCAGCGTAATATATTTTATTTTAACGTTCTTCTTTCTAGTGTGTGTCTTAAGTGCTGTCTTAAGTGTTGACGTTTGATTCTTGAAGAAGAATCTTAGCTCATCGATACCTCGACGTAATGATTATCAATATACATTGTTGGTAAATATCATGAAACTTTCAGTAAAAATATCTCTATTTTATGTACGTTTGTGTGTTTTCTAAATTTTATTTCCCAAAATCTTACATCCATATGTGTTCAACATGCCTGATATCTGTATATTTTATATTTACATTTTGAACTTTATATCGCAATATCTCCGTTCGTAGGATACGTAGAGGAAAAATAAAAACACTTTCCTTATATAAATCGAACCCAAGCTATCGATTGAGTTTACTTAGAACTTAATCGATTTATAGCCAATTTCTTCACCGTCGGATAACTCTATCCTTCGGTTAACCGCGCACTCTTCATCTCTTTCTAAAAGAGCAGTTAGAAAGAAATAAAGAGTGAGATTAACGGAAGGATAGAGTTATCCATCAATGGTGAAGAAATTGGCCCTTAGCCGTTATTGAGATCCGATAATCTCGGGTACTCGCAACTCTCGGGCTCGCGTAAAGCTACACGGGGCGATCTCGCTATGCGCATACTTGACGCGAGACACTACTGTGTCCTTTGATATTATTTCTGTAACATTACTTGTGAACAAAGTTATAATTTTATAAATATAAACTTTTGCCACCTGTAGATAATAATTAATATTTTCTTAACATTTTTTTTACATATATTGTTCTCAAGTTATTTATCGTGCAAATATGAATTAATTTATGAGAAACTCTTTTATATGAAATAATTAGATATTGAACAATATATCATATTAAATAGTATTCGGAATTAAATAATGTTTACATTTATTACGTTTTACATGAGAATAAAACTATAATGATAATTTTCGATGTAATTTAATAGTTAAATTAGCCAAATAATTTATTGTATTTACAAAAAGGAATTTATTTCGTAACAACAATTAAAGATATCTACAAAACTTGAATAATGACGCATTTATATTATACACAACATTGTCATTTTTAAATTCTGTAGTTTTTATAATTGAAAGTACCCCGATATTTTCATTTAACTAACGATTTTTTATCGCGCAAATAATATTACAGAGAATATTATCTGAGAAAAAATCAATTACCTTAAAACATTTAATTTGTGCAAGCTTTACTTAAATCACATTTTATTCTGAAAATTATAAATATTTATAGTCGATTTTTATTAGATAATATACTTTAATATCATTGTTGCATAGAATACATGAAAGTGAAATAAGACATCGATGCTTTTAATAACTGTAATAAAATATGTCTTTTTACATTATCAGTGAAAGGGTGAATAGTTATTTTTAAAATACTGTATGAATCTAATTATTATTACCATGGCGAAACATTCTAAAGATGCCACGAATATCTGGTCGACATTTAAAGCAAAGGCTTTGCTGCTTCTTCGTAATATAAAGGGTATCAACTTTTGTGTGTGCACGAGGACTACATACCATCAAACATTGTATCTATAAAATAATGACAACAAATAAGAAGAATTTTGTTTACTAATAAAATGATCATAACTGTATAATGCCTAAACATTTGCTGATATTTTAATTATCGTCAGTTTTAATTGCACACACCGAGAGAGAGAGAAAGAGAGAGAGAGAGAGATTGTTTACAAAAGTAAGCTGAAATTTGAAACATGCATCCAAACACGTGTTTTTTCAAATTATCACTCTTATTACTGCAAATGTATAAATACGTATCCTATGCGAAATTAAAGTTAAAACGTCGCGCCATGAGATGCTGTCAAATATGATCGCTTAATGCGGCCAATGAAGAGTCAATAAAACTCTTCCTTCCCCCTCAAATAATTGAGGAGGATAATTATCATAATAAATCTGATATTTGTATAATTACTCATTATTAATATTTGATTTCACTACTCGAATACGTACGACACAATTAATGATATATAATTATATGGACATTATATAAAACAATTTCTTACGCTGCAACATATATGTAGTTACTGTGATCCATAACTTCTTGTCCGGTATAGTTAGCTAAGAACATATATAAAAGAATGACCGACACCATCAAAAGATGAAATAGGAATTTCTCTTTGTTTCCGAGCGACACACTCTAAAAAATCTGAAATATTATGGTTATAATTAATGTTCTAATTATATTTAATAATTATTTATTTTATATGCAAAAATAGGTTATTATAAAATTACAAATAAATAATACAAAAAATAATATCCATAATTTTTTTCTCTTTTCTCAAAAATTTTGATTAATTAAAAATAAATTAACACTTGTTTTCAATTACTTTTGTAATTATTGATTATATTATTCTTTATCTGCAAAGTCTTTAAATATTATGAGATAATTTGCAGAAGTCATTGAATAATATGTTTAAAAATGTGAGAAAAAACTCACTGCAAAAAGATTGAGACTCAAAGAAATTACATTAATCACTATTAAGAAGAAGAAGGATCCCTTAAAGCTGGATAATAAAAATTGAGAATACCTTAAAAAAGTAAAATATTATGACAAATACTATGTATATAATATCATGTATGGACACCAACTTTAAAGCTTTGCGTTGAATGTCAACGGCACAAATTATTTCCTTGTACATAATCTCGTTTTTTGTACTGATATTTTCGAGCATTTTTATCGTCATCGCTTGCTCGATACGATAACTATAAATTAATTTTAGGCTATAAATACATAGTTCTCAGTAATTTGTTTGTACGAAGGCATTTGATGCAAAATAAGTTTTATTTTCAACTATATAACTTTTGTATTTTTTCGTAGATTTGTTTTTTACCTGGCAATTTTAAACAATCCGCAAGCGTGTATGAGATATCCTCTGAGTAATGTCTCTGAGTAATGCTGCTGCCACTGTAGTTGCCTTTATACATATGACTGCATTTGAATGTAACAAAATTATGTAGAAATATTTTTCTTGATTGATAAAATATTCAGTCATGAAATGCAGTACTCGACGTGGCTGAGATCCATTTATATGCAAAGCAATATCAAGAACTGGCGTCAAAATTGGCAATAAAATAACGATAAATAAACAGCACATGCAGAACACTAAGAGCATTTAAAAAAAGTTATTATACAAATTTTGCTTTTTTTAATGTCTCGAAATATTATAAGTAATATATTTTAAATTTATGTGCTGTATAATTTTTTCCAGTATGATATTTTATGCAAATGATGACTGCAAAAAATTCTTACGTTTTAAACGTACTATTTAAAATGAAACGTGTATACTTATATTCCATATAGTAAAATATTCTTTGACTTTTTAAAATTATTTTTAAATTATATCTTTACATTTTAGAAATATGTCAATAATATATAAAAGTATTTAGTCTCGATACAGATCATTACTCTAGGAGCACGCGTCGACTGTGAAAAAGTCAGTGATGGTTTGTGCACACGCACACTTTTCAACTTTTATTGAATACTTTATAACTTACTACTTTCTTATAAATTGCATCATAAATTATCTAATCTAGCATAAACGTAGCAAAAATTAGGGAAAAATATTACTCTGAAATTGGAACATTAGCAATTGAACAATTTTACTGGAGAAGAGGTCGGCGATTAAGCGATCAATATATAATATGAGCAATTGAACAGATGTTCATTTCTCATAGAAATATACTTGCGTATTCCCTGAGAGCCGCACAAGCATTTCGCCAATTTTCAGTAACGCAATAACATATATGTCTCTTCGTTGCATGATGCGTGCTCTCATAAGTTATGTTAAACCATTTAGAGAAATGGTAATCGCTTAGTCTTACATATCGCACCCCAAAAAGAATACTGTCACAACTCAAAAAATTTCGATTTTGAGTTAAGTGCCATAAAAAGTATGCCTAATGTGTTCCCTATACATGCTTATAATAGTGTTACAAATCTATATGCAAAATTCGCTGTACGGGAGCAGAGAAGTATCGTTATTCTTTTAAACCGATTAAGTTGCAATCGTTGGATGAATAGTGTCATAAGTGAATTGACAAGTGAATCACAGTAGATGTCTTCAAAAAAACAGCATAAGTTTCATTATAACAAAATGTCGTAATTGCAATTGCGTTAGTTGTCTCACAATTCAATAAAAAGTTGAATTATTTGTTTTTCCTCTCTCCCGAAAATTATGAATTTTTGAGTTGTGACATTGTTTTTTTTTTATGGTGCGATATATATATCGATATATCAATTATTAATATATTATTGCTAACTTACTGTAAACATTACCGTTTTAAACACTTTTATATTTTCTTAGAATTAAGAGTTCTTACAATTTTATCGAGATTATCGGTCAATACAACTTTTTAGATTATAGTATGTAATTCGTTTTAGTGTGCTAATTAGTTTCTTCACTATCATTATTTCACTACACTACTATCATTATTTCACTACACTTTACATCAATTCTGCATCGAATGAAGAACGGTGAAATACGACACTGCCGTGCTCAGTAACTATAATAACACATAACTTTTTATTTTTATCTATCTATAAAATATATTTTACATTTAACACTATTTTGAAAGATATTCTTCTTACCGTAGCAGCACTTTCTAACGATCCCACGAATAGTCCAGCAATATTCATAGTGAACGCCTTGGTACCTCTTTGCAAGAGGAACAGGATCATTTTTTGTATTTGCAACGGAGTAACGTACCACTGGACATTGTATCTACATTATGATAAAATAATTAATAATTGAGAAATATAAAAGAAATCTGCCAATAAATTTGATACACGCGGCGTTAAGACTCCTACTGGCTTGATTGCCAAATCTACGTTGACAGTACAAACAGTTTACACGTTGCAAAATTGTGAACTGAAAAGCGTAAAGCTAAACTATTCTTTCGACGTACAACGTTATTTTTCGTTTTAATGCAGTAATTTTATATTTAAAATAATTGTCGTGGTGTTAAGTATAGGTACCAAAGACTCCTGTTTATAATATGTGAAAGTAAATATTTATTTCAATTTGGCAGCTATCGGCTAAGGATGGCTTGTTTTCGTCTTTAATTAAGTACAATTCAATTCAACATGTAGATTTCGCTAACAAAAGGGGAGTTTTTGGTATATTCTATCGCTTACAAACGCTATCTTATTGAAAAACATTTTTATTTTAATATACGTCGTAAGAATTTTCATGATACACCTATTTTTCTCGCTTTTAATGTCATCAATTCAAGATGGCTGCAGTGAGTGAACAGAGGCCTTAACTGTATTTTTTTATTGCATTGATTGATATAAATGCGCATATAATTATATTACATAAATATTATCCTTACACGGTGGTAAATACCTCATTATTGTGATTCGTAATTTCCTGTGCGAGAAAGTTTGCTGCAAACATGTAACAAAAATGGATGATGAAAAATATTAATCGTAACGAAAGTTCTTTAACGTCACAGCTAAGGGATACCATCTGAAAAATCTAAAGTACAAGTGCATCTTAATGATTGTCGTAAAACTAAATTAATAACGTTAAACAAAATAATAATGAATTAGAACTCTTGATGGGAATTTGATAATAATTGGTCTCGTTACTGTTATTAAATATATTATTAAAAGAAGGCGATACGTACCCGAAAAAAATTCAGACTCGCGCAAATCACCCCGACTATTATCAACAAGGAGAACATTACTTTAAATCTAGATATTGTCGATTCGGAGAATCTTCAAAAGAAAGAAAACATTATTCTATACGCGATATTATCAATTATTATAAATGTTGTATAATTACTGTTATATGAATACCAACTTCATAGCTTTGCGATGCATATCCACGGCATAAATTAATTCCTTATAAATTAAATTCTTATTCATCATGCTGTTCTTTTGCAGAATTTCAATTGTTATTGCTTGTTTAACGCGATAACTGCGTGATTTATTTGCCATAACTATATAGGTCTCTTCAAATTTACGATAGAGTTTTCTTATATTTGATTTTATACATATTTATATTTTTACCTGGCAATTCGAAACATTCCACATGCATACTGTAAGTAAACTATGAACATTGTTCCTGTCGCTAACATTACACCAATTCCTATGGTAAAAGCCGTATTTGTATGCAAGCTAATTAAATAGAAATACTTTTCTTGGTCGATAAAGTATTCTGTTACAAACAGTGGTGAAATATGTGGTCGAGTTTCATTCATAGGCAGTAAGATGTCAAAAATACGCGGCCAAATTGGATATAATAATAAAGCAAATACGAGCAATATAACAGACACTGAAAAATGTTTAAAAATCAATTCTTTCAAAATCCTAGGAAAATCCATTATAAAATCGCTGGTTAAGTCTCCAAATATAACAAACAATTCGCGTTTAACAGAAATCGAAAGCAGTTATCTCACATGTAAATATAGCCGTGTAACGTTTTGCACCGCTGGCGTACTGTTTCATAATGTTGATTTCATGTTTATCAGTTAGTTCGTTACAAATATGCTGCAGTTGCTCCAGCAAACACTTTATCTGTTGTTTTAATAATATTGCATGCACTTTTTTTTTATCATGTTGGAAAAATATTATCGTATTTATATTATATTAAAAATTTTATCTCTCGGAAATATTTATTCACATACACACGTGAATATAATATATAATATACAGGATATTAATCGAGAAATTGCTGAAACTAAATAGTTATTGTTTTTGTAATGAGTAAACAGAATAGAATAAATTGAAACTCTGGAATCCTATTATTTGCGGAAGTGCGCATTATATGTCCCATGTAGTGTGAGAGTTTTTATTTTTAAATATATAAAAAGACATTATAAAAAATAAAAAAGAATCTGGTTGATTGCAGGATTCAGCGATATACATATAATTATGAAGTTTTAAGATAGCGCGAAAGCATAGTTATAGTTATTAATGTTAAATAGCGTTTATTTAAGTTTAAAACTTTGGAAGAGCGTTTCGATTATTATGTCAGTTCAAAAATAATTATTTTGAATAAATCTTTGAGCTATGCAATCAGTCGAATTGTTGGCCATTCTTATACATAATTAATATACATATTTATTCTTACAAATATACATGTATATATATCAGGGTATCTCACAATCATATAATACTTTAATACTTATAATAATTTATTATTGTGTTCTAAAGGTAAAATAGATTTAAAAATTCTAATTCAAAAATTTTGAGGCTGCAATAGTTTTTGAGTTACGAGCGATGAAAGTTTTCCAATGATATCACGTAAAACTTGCTCGCTCAGTCCAGTAACTACACCTACACCTACACGGGTATTAATTTGTCATCTGTCATTGATTTTCTCAAGTCAGGTGATATTGATTTTTACTGCAAAGCTGATTTTATTTTGTCATTTCCTGTACGTGTGTATTACGGCTACATCGTACATTATGGCGATATAGGCTAATATTAACAAATTATAAATCTTATACGGAAAACATTTAATTCTAATAGATAATTTAATTAAATAATTAAATAGATAATATTAAATAACTAGCTTTTCGGCCCGGCTTCGCGCGGGCCTCAAATAGATCTATCTGTATATTAATTATATATGCTTTTTTTTATTCTCACTTTAATAATAATTTGTAATTTAAATACATTCTTTTTATTTTTAAAAAGTTTTAATTTTTCAACATTAATTTTTTAATATTCGTAAATTTTGAGATATCGGGCCTCCAAAAATTAAATATTTTTCGTGGGAGGAGGAAAATGCCTAATGCATACCCTAGGGCCGGTCCCTAGGGTTATGCCGGACTTGCACCGGCTAAAAACTTTCAGTCAAAATTTTTTTAATTTTTGGAGGAAAAATCTATTCCCCTTTCCCCAAACTCACTCATTAATTAGGAGCACCTTTGATATTCTTTCTCCTCAAACTCTAACCTGACCTACATCTCTTCGAATTTTTTTTTTAAATAAAAAATAATAGATAATATAATAGATGCAGATTAGCATATTGTCAAATATTTCAAAAACGTAATCCCTTATATTAAAGTTTTTAAATTTTATTTTTGCTCGTGCCTCACGCGTTTTTACCCTCCGTTGATCCACCATTATTAACTCTCTTTTATTTTTTTAATTTTTTTTTTTTTTGAAATCATCGAAAAATTAGAAAAATTTGGCACTAGTTTCAAGAAAATCAATTCTTAATAAAAAATTATCCATTAATAAAAAAATAAATTTTTCCTCCAAAAATTAAAAAAATTTTGACTTCTATTTCATATATAATTCTTTAAGATTTGGTTAATTAATTCCCGAAAAATTGGAAAAATTTTGTAACAGGTTCCCAAAAAAATTGGTAACAAAAAATTATACACTTTATAGCAAACCCCAGGAAATTCTACCTTTATTTCATATACAATTCTTTAAAATTTGATCAATTAACTCCCGAGAAATTAGAAAAATTTTGTAACCGGTTTCCACAAAAATCGGTAACGAAAAATTATCTATAAAAATTATCCATAAAAAAATTTAGCTTGATATCTCAAAATTCGGAAATTGGAGCAGAAATCGGAAACCTTTTTATTATTAGCAATTTTTCTATAAACTCATCGTAGCCATCCTGAAAAAATTAGAAAATTTTGAAACCGGTTTCTAAAAAATTGATTATGAAAAATTATACACATCTTCGCCATCCCCGAAAAATTAGAAAAATTTGGGCATTATTTTTAAGAAAGTAACGAAAAATTATCTTTAAAAAAATTTAGCTAATATCTCAAAATTTGAGGAAATTAGAACAATCACGTACCAGAGTCGTACCTACATTTTTTTAAACAAAAATTGAAAACTTTTTTAGAAAAATTGGAAAAGCTTCGTAACCGGTTTCAAGAAAATCAATTCATTAATGAAAAATTATCCATTAATAAAAAATTAAACTTATCCTCCAACAATTAAAAAAATTTTGACACGACTGCTATTTCATATATAAATCTTTAAGATTTGGTCAATTAATTCCCGAAAAATTTCAAAAAATTTGTAACCGGTTTCCAAAAAAATCGGTAACAAAAAATTATACATTTTATAGCAATCCCGGAGAAATTCTACCTTTATTTCATATGTAATTCTTTAAGATTCAATTATTTTCCGAGAAATTGGAAAAATTTTGTAACCGGTTTCCAAAAAGATCGGTAACGAAAAATAATACACTTTATATTACTCTCCAGAAAATTTTACCTCTATTTCATATACAATTGTTTGAGATTCGGTCAATTAACTTCCGAAAAATTGGAAAATTTTCTGATACCAATTTCTCCAAAAATCGGTAACGAAAAATTATACATTTTATGGCAATCCCCGGGAAATTCTACCCCTACTTCATATAATTTTTTAAGATTTGGTCAATTAATTTTCGAAAAATTGAAATAATTTTGTAACCGGCTTTCAAAAAGATCGGTAACGAAAAATAATACACTTTATATCACTCTCCAGAAAATTTTACCTCTATTTCATATACAATTGTTTGAGATTCGGTCAATTAATTTCCGAAAAATTGGAAAATTTTTTGATACCAATTTTCCCAAAAATCGGTAACGAAAAATTATACACTTTATAGCAATCCCCAGAAAATTCTACCCCTACCCCAGGTAGCAAGCACTCGTCATTTTGACGTCAATATTTGGTCATAATTGGTCAGTAACGTCATTCGTCGATTAAGTGACGTATATTTAACGTCATGTTTTAATACGTCAAAAAGACTTTGTAAAATGACATTATATAGACGTTTAATTGACTACCCAGGTAGCAGACAGTCGTCATAATGACGTGATTCTTACGTCATTTTATGACGCATGTTACGTCATTTATTCCTAAAGTTTGACGTAAAAATGACATATTTTTCACAGTATTTTTCACAGGAATATTCCTACATTTATAAAGTGTTTCGTAACTTTATGATTGACGTTGTGAATTTATGGTATAAGTGGATCTAGTTGCGTGTGTAATTATAGTTTTATGACAACTATTTCATGCAGTGTTATAACTATTAAGAAGATATCATTACAAGATTTTTGACCACGTTAAAGATGTACCTGTTATAGACAAGTACAGTTAATAAGGAATCATCAGGGTGAGAAGATCGTCACTGTCCACTGGATCATCGAAGTCAAGCGACTCGGACGCGGTACTGTACTAGGATGGGTGACCGCCTTGAGAGCGGGCTATACGCACATGGCATGTAACGAAACAGTTAAAAAGCTTTTTTTTTCTTAGATAAAGAAAAAGAACATTTTTTTATAAACGTTTATCAAGTAGACATTTTAAAATTTTAATTTCATAAAAAACATTTCTAGAAACCGGTATGTCGTACATTGGACCTATTTTTGCCGTCAATAAAACGTCAGAAAATGACGTCGTTGGGATGTGACTTAGGACCGTGAAAAATACGTCATTTTTACGTTAAACTTTAGGAATAAATGACGTAACATACGTCATAAAATGACGTAAGAATCACGTCATTATGACGACTGTCTGCTACCTGGGACTTTATATAATTTTTTAAGATTTGGTCAATTAATTTCCGAAAAATTGAAATAATTTTGTAACCGGCTTTCAAAAAGATCGGTAACGAAAAATTATACACTTTATAGCACTCCCCGGAAAATTCTACCCCTGTTTCATATATAGTTTTTTTAAATTCAGTCAATTATTTCCCGAAAAATTAGAATAATTAGAAAAATTGGTAGTAAAAAAATGGCCACGACATTTTCATCCCCGGGAAATTCTACCCCTGTTTCATATACTTTTGGTAAAAATTCGGTCCACTAACGAATGAGTAGTTTGCGTACATACAGATAGACAGACAGACAGACAGACAGACAGACAGACGTGACTTATATATATATTGTTTCTTTTTCATGAGAAACAGAAAGACATTTTTTATTCTTTTAGATTCAATCAATTATTTCTCGTAAAATTTTAAAAATATCACAATAATAAAATTTCGCAATTCAGAGAGATAATAAATAAAAATCAAATTAATCATTAATGTAACATTATCTATACTATATCATACTATCATTATACAGATAATGTAGATATAAATAATATAGATAATAATATAGATAATCAGAATATAAAAAGCAAACTTGTAACATTATCTATATCATACTATTATTATATATAGATAAATCAGAATATTCAATAAAGTCAATTATTATTTACCAAAATTATTATTTACCTTTAAATCCAAAGGAATGGAAAAATAGAAACAGGAAATAAACAGGGAACAGGAAAAAATCTTAGGAAACAGGAAAAAATCTTTAAAATCTTTATAACGGGAACAGGATAAAACAGGTTTTAACATTTTTTTGTGTAAGATTAAATATCTGTAAAAAAGACAAAAAGTCAATACGATATTAAACTAAAAAGGAAATTAAACAAAGAGATATGGAGAGATGAAAAGACATCAACATATAAATTTGATATTTAAAATACATACCTTTTCTCTCTCTCTCTCTCT